GGGGGGGGGGGCAGGAGCTCCAACAAGGCGTTTAGGACAGAGAGTGAATACACATACTATACAGAGATGCTGTATGAGAAACCAATGTGAGTTTGGACAATTGCACAATTTAAATCTATTCTAGTAGACCTCAACAATGGAATTATGATCAGTACAAATGGCCATGACATGGGACCTTTAATAAACAAAAGATATCAGTACGAACACATATTTTCAAAGGTCAAAAAACGATATTGCCCCGTGATTCTTTTCTCTTTCTCGTTCTAATTACAAGCAGCTGCGGTTACAACGGCTGGTTTAAATAAATGATATAATAATAGTAATAATAACAAAGAATTACAATGTTCAAATATATCTATATACACACATAATATATCAAATTATACATTTTAACATATGGCTCCTACATAAACGTGTCTCTGGAACATTTTGCTGCATCAAGACTTCACTCAGCAGCAAACAGATGAGGTGTATTGATACGTTATCAGAAGGATTGATGAACAGGACTGTTAACACTTGTGCATGTAATGAGCTCCTGTAAACAGATGAAGCCCAGTAACTTATCTCACCTCACTTGCACACGCTCTCTGTGTAAAACCCCTCCAGCTGCTCCCCCGTCGCTCCAGGGTTTATATTTGAACTGTGCTTCATAGATTTGTGCAATCTGATTTTGTTTCAACACATCAAAAGAGAGATTTGTCTGTGAATGTTATCTCGGGAATTAGCCCCCTCGCATCATCTTCTCTTATCGCTGCCGGGATCCTTCTCTGTGGCCAAGCTAAATCTCCACTGTGGGTTTTTTTTGGCGTGGAAACAAATAACTGCGGCGATAAAAGGACGAAGTGATTTCCTTTGAGTCACCAGAAAAACCCCACCTTCTCCTCCCGTTGCTTTTGATGGAGAGGGCGCGAGACGAGGTATTACAAGGATGTTTGTCATGGCAGAAAAAGATAGCCTTTGTGGAGGATTATGAGTTATTACGCAAAGATAATGAGGCTCTGCTGGAGAATGCAGCTGGATTTAGACTCTGATAGCACTGAAGGGCACGGTCAGACTTAGAAAGAGAGAGATTATGTCTGGGCTCAGTGAAGTTATGTCAGGATACAGATCAGAGACTTGTAATGTGGCTTAACTCGACCTAAATACAGATAACACGCCATCAGAGGGAAACTGTGACAGAACGAGACGTGGCAAAAAGTAGCTGGAACAACATCAGGGACTTTAAGAGGTGATGAGCCTCTGTACATGATAAACTAAGGGGCGGGACATCTCTAAGCGGTTGACCAATCACAACAGAGCCGGCCAGCTAACCAATCAGAGCAGACTGGGCTCTGGTTTCAGACAGAGGGTGAAAAGAGGTGCTGCAGCACAGACAGTATGAGAACAATAAAGAGCTTTTTGAACATTAAAGCATGGAGACATGTAGAGACACTACATACTGATATACACCAGAACATCAGCAGGAGAGGACTCTTTAAAGTAGAGACACTACATACTGATATACACCTGAACATCAGCAGGAGAGGACTCTTTAAAGTAGAGACACCATATACTGATATACACCTGAACATCAGCAGGAGAGGACTCTTTAAAGTAGAGACACTACATACTGATATACACCTGAACATCAGCAGGAGAGGACTCTTTAAAGTAGAGACACTACATACTGATATACACCTGAACATCAGCAGGAGAGGACTCTTTAAAGTAGAGACACTACATACTGATATACACCTGAACATCAGCAGGAGAGGACTCTTTAAAGTAGAGACACTACATACTGATACACACCTGAACATGTGTTTTTTATGTCCTCTTTAACATATTTAATTCAGTTGAGTTTAATGGCGGCTAAGAATCAGGATGACACTAAAAGGGAAAGAAGACAGACTCAATTGAACTGATGCACAAATAGGTTGGAAAAAAATTACTTTCAGACAAATCAAATGACCCATAACTGGAACTAAAAAGCAGAAAATAAACGATCGAAATGACATCAAGCGATAACTTAATTTGTCCTTGACTGAATCTGAACTGAATGAAACTTATTTTTAACATTCTTCATTAAGTCAATAATATAAAAAGTAAACTCTAGGTAACCTCTTCAAGTGAGATTTTTAGATTTTTTTGTGTGCGTGTGTGCATGGACTCAGATATAAAGAGATGAAAGAAAGATGTCACGGCCCATCTTCTTCCCCCTCGTCCTCCTTTGTGAGATGGCAAAGGGCGTAGATCTGTCCCTCGGTGTATTCTGCAGCGTGGGAGTCAAATAAAAGGCGATTTAGTAGAAACTGCACTCAAAGACAAAATGACTTCTGGAAGTTTTCTGCTTTAAAACCTAAAGTGGTGTTCGGGTCAAAGTGACCGGTTTTAACTTTGAAAAATAAGAGAAAAGTGAAACAAGGATGTTTTGTAAAACCTGAAACTTCATGGCCTGTAAAGAAACTGATCAAACATGATGTAATGATTTGTTCTTTTACTTTTGCATGCTAGATTTGATAAGATTTAGATAAGACATACTTCATTAATCCCAAAATGAAATAAGTATTTGTAAAAAGTTGGCGAATTAAATATCCAAATTTGTGAAATAAAGTATATTTACTTTAAAAAATAAGAAATTCATTCAATATTTGTTTTGCTTTTTTGATTAGAGTCAGATATTCTTTATTCATCCCAAATTGGGAAATTCATTTGACAAGTATGTCTACTTTAAAAGATTGGAAGTACATTTTACATGAATAAAGCATATTCTGAATCTAATTGAATGAAGAACAAGTAAAACAAAATTACAAATACTAAAAGACCCCCTACACATGTATGTCCTTTTAACAATGAAAATCTTACATTTGAAACGTGTATGAAAAGATTGTTTAATATCAAAATTCCCAAAAATAAACATGAATATGCAACCCAAGTGTTTATTATAGTGGGTTATTTTTGTATAAATAAGAACTATAATACAAAATACACGTGTTACATTTGATCTAGCAGAAAGTATTTGCGATCAAGAATCATATATGTACATCTAAAATGTTGGGAATTGATATCAAAACAATATTTGTAATATATTTTGTATGCTTTTTAAACAAGGGTTAATTCTCAATTATCTTCTTTTTTTCTGTGTCCCTTCATTCCCCAGCCCCTTCTTCCCGAGATGTCAGACGCAGGGCGATCCTCGATGTGTCGACCCCAGGACAGATGCTTTCCTTCATATGCAAACGCCTCCTGTTTCCTTTGAGACATCCTCGCCATCTTCTTTGAGCGTGGAGGTGCGTTCAGGTGCAGTCGAGCCTAATCCTTACACCCGAAGTCTACGTAAACCCGGACGTCGTCATAGCAACTCCCCGCCTCCTCCGTTTCGCTCCTGCTCCATCCCCATCATCCCCTCCGTCCAGTATCACCACGACAATGAGGCGTCTTGTATGCAAACCAGCGTCTCCTCGGCAACCAGGGCCATGTCCTCAGGAGGAGGAAAGGAAGCAAGGAGAGAGAAAACGGCAGCACATGTTGTCGTGTTGTCTTCTACTTCCTGCTCCTCTGCTATTGGTCAGCAGCGGGATGAGGTGGTGCTGCTATTGGAGGAGGCTCAGGAGCAGCTCAGGAAGTTGGCGTTGGCAAACAGGAAGCAGGAAGTGGAGGCCAGAGAAACTGTTTGCTTCCTGAACCTTAATGGAGGAAGTGTTGGGGCGCTGAGCTGCAACGGACCAACGCAAACACAGCTGCTCACCCCCAGCCTATCACACAGAGACCTGGGCCAAATCAGCCAATGAGAGGACTCCATTTAGGACTTTCACTTTGACAGTGTTTGACAGACTATTGTGTTCTGTAGGACACCGAATTGAAAAAAAACAACATGTAATATCATGGAAAATGTGCTGGTGATATGCATTCTGTACGGATCGAACACTGACCGCCTTTACACTGACTGACAGTATGGAAGAAAAAAAATATTTACATGCATTTATTTACAAAAACAAGAGAAACACTTAGGCAAAAAGAAACCAAATAGTCTGTCAACTCCATGGTGTTTTTAACTGTAAAAAGAATATATAAATATATATATAAATATATATGGATATAAATATATGGAATTCAAAAAGTGACCAAGTACAAAGTTGAAGAACACAGGAATGATGTAACTTTTGTTTTCTTCTCCTTCTCCCTGTTTTTGTATTAACTCAAGTCACGTGTTTGGGTTTCGGCTCTAGAGAAAGAGAAAGACTTCGTTATCGCCGCACGATTCTGTGAGCCTGTACAGAATCCAATATGGCCGACAAGGAAGGAGCTTCTTCACCGATTTACCTTTTGAAAAACTTGTCTACCCAGCCAAGAATACACTTAAAGGATTTACAAACAAAGATTCCGCGGCCGTGAGGTTTGTGTGTGTGTGTGTGTGTGTGTGCGTGCGTGCGTGCGTGTATGTGTGTGTGTGCGTACTGAAATGCAGCAAGAGAAGAAGAAAAAACCTGGAAGCTTCTACAGTTGGTCCGATTTGGGAGATTGTTAAAGACAGCTTACATGGACGCTGACTCCCTATCGGTCGAACCAATCTAGATTACTTTAGCTTTTTTTACAAATGGTATTTTCACACAGACACGCACACACACTCACTTGTGCATTCATTGTTGGACGGTCAGATGAAGGACATAAAGAAGGACATAAAGAAATCGCCACAAGTGGAACTAATCTGACATTTTGTTTTGTTTGTTTTTCCATTTTTGGTTATAAATGAACAATGCTGCTTTCTGGGGCTGAAGGGAGGGAGAACACATGGTTTTGGGTATTGAAACAAATAAATGTCTCTATGTTGTATCCTATGAATTGGAAGCTTTTGAATCTCTGTATGAACTTACAGCCAAATGTTTCTGGTGACAAAAAGTAAAAAATGGTTGCAATTCTGGTAAAGATTTTTCAAAATAACATTTGTTTCAGTTGATTGCTTCAAAGACATTTATGACTCCCTCAAAGCAACATGCATGTACATCAGTCTGGTTTACTTCACTTATTTGTTGGTCTTTTCACACATGGTGTAAACTGGCTTCATACCAGTATTCACCAATAGCTATCTAAGTAGCAGGTAGTACCCTCTCTTCACCATGCTGCCTGGAGAAATCAATGACAAATAATGTTTTAAAACATGGTTTCATTTCACTATACAATCACTAAAGTAAGTGTTTCCATCCATAAAACTCTGTGATTGATGTCAAAACCCATAATGGGACAGGTTAGTAGCTCTTGAATGAAAGTCAAATACTAAAGGGGGTTCCTACTGAGGATTAAGGATATGTACGGTGGACGACAGGGACAAACGTGCAACAACGACCAAAAACACTTAGAAATACTGAGCATATGTAAAAACACAAATGTGCCAAAACACGTGCATGCAAACAGCCGGTTTCATAATTGTGTTTTGTCAATAATTTGAAATTAGGTTAGCTATGTTAGCTAGCTAGTTTACACCAGATCTGCAATAGTAGGCTTGAAGGAATCATGTGATCATATTGTGTAAATAAGCCAATCCAACTTACATTTTAGGTCAGTTTCCAGTTTGTTTAGTTTGTTTGCAACTGTCGGCCACCAAAGATACCGATGATAATGTTCTTTTAAAATAGACACCGAGGAAGGAAACGATCAAGGACTTGGTCCGCCCAAGTCCTTGCAACTACATTTAAACATTTCAGATACATTTGACTATTTGATTTGGGAAAACAAGCCAACCTTATTGTGTAAGCGAAGTGTGAAAAATAAGCACAAGTAACACCAACATTCAGTTTAGTGCCATCGAAAAAGTGTCAGGGGGCTTGAATTGTAAACATTTACTCTTGGATTGAGGTTTAAAAATACTATGTTATAGAGCTCTCTTGTGGTTTTGATAAGAAATATATCTTTCAGAACACCTAAAGCAGCCCTTCTTCGAACTTTGTCTCAAAAAACGTACTTTTTAAACCAGCTTCACGGTCCTTTTTCTCTGTGTGATCGGCGCTCTACGGTTCAGAACGGTCTGATTCAATAACGCAACACTCTGGATATATAAAGTACCTGCAAAATCAAACCTGCACTCATCAAATCCTTCACAACGGCTGATCCTTGGGAAGCAGCGCCTGAATGGCAAGGCTAAATCTTATTCAACACACACACACACACACACACACACACACACTAGCATATATAAATCAGCCAAGAGCTTTCTGTCTGTCTTCCTTATTTTATTTTTATTAAAGATTTAGTTTGCCATTCTGCAATTCAACCCCCAAAGGCTCTCTCTATATCAAATTGTTCGACCGCAACAGTTTTGGTTATTTGATACTGATGTCCTTGATTGCATTATGTCCGCACAGGAACACACACAGGTGACATATGGAGGGTTTTTGTGCTTCTGTACACACACACAGTGCAGAGAACAATGTGACCGTGTCTGTTTGACCAACTGTAATCAGTGTATGAGCTTTTAAACAGATAAAAGTCTGCAAGCATCGTCTGGATTTGTTTTGTTATCTGAGCTGAACCGGCAATATTTATCCACTGCATGTTTTTACAACATGAACGTCATGTTTTCATCGGAGCCTCTCACACAATTTCACTTTTTTCAATTAGCATGAGGTATTACTTCAAGGCAACTGCATTTACTCCTGTACATCTGAGCATCGGAAATTATACAGTAGAAGACAGAAAACACGAGTTCAGTGCTGCTTTCCATTCTGAGCCTCTGTTCAGATTGGTTTGACATGTGTCAGTGATTGAGCATTGCATGACTTCACATCCTGCTGGTTTAACATGACCAGAAGCATTGGAAGAATAATGAGAGTGAACACTTATAGGAAAACTTCGCCTTTTATTAGATCAGAAAGCCTTCTTCCTTACAGTCAAACTTGTATTTGCTGTTTTTGTTCTAAGATACATTTGGAGTTTAATGGTGTTTATTTAAATCCAGAATCAAACCTGAACCAGGCAATAAACACATCCAGGGGGAAATAGGGTTTTAAAATAGGCAAACCCCCCCCCAGTTTAATCATGTTGTGTTCTTCACTAAAGCATTTTCCACTGCTTAATTGCCTTTCTGTATTTGTCTCTGTGTCTAAGTCTGACTGTTTAGCAAGAGGGCTTTGATTATCATAAACCAGAGATGAGTGTCGGCTTGCAGACGGAAGTATAACAATTTATGGCTTCAAATAAATAAATCTGACTGAAACCGTTTGGGCATTGATCTGCAAACAGGATTTGTAACAGTCTTTCTTTTAGCTTCGTGTCGAAAAGTCAAGTTTTGG